GAAAATACAGTTTATTGTTAGATAAAACACAGGTATTTCGAGCTTCATGAAAGAAGAAAAAGAACAACTAAACCTAATATTTACACTTTCTATGAAAAGCACAGGCCTGGAAAAATTGCAAATCATATCGAAAGACACTATGCCAAAGTGAAGCAGCATGAAAAGAGAAACCTCCTGAGAAACACAAGTGTGCTTTTATGTTATATTCAGTAGCTTCCTACTGAATGAAAAACACTGGAGCTGTGTTTAGTTTTCTCATTTAGGGAGTCGCTTACCTGGCTATTTAGTTGTTCACAGTTGCAGTGCAGTAAATTTCAGAGGACTGATTCCTCTTTTAGAAAAGTTTCCACATTCTCAGTGCAACAACAGAGCTGAACAGCATATCTTTGCATTTCAGATGCCAGTCGCAACCCCTTTGCTTTTAGACAGGCCAGGATCTGCCTGATTTGGTATCACTGCTTGTTCTTGCTTGGAAACACCTTTGCGTTTCACCACAGAGGTGATCACTACTGTCCAAAGATCTAGAAGTAGCATCTCTGGTCTCAGCAGAGGCTCTGACACATCTGAGCAGTCTAGGAGTCAAGAATTCTGGGAGAGAGCTTAACCTATTATTATCTGTCCCTGACCACACCTCTGGCCACACCAGGTGAACAAACTAGAAAAAAAAGACACCTTGGTTCTTCCAGAAGCTGCAATGTCAATTTAGAGTGGATCAAATACAACAAAAAATAGGAGTGGGAGTGACAATGACAAAGTGTAAATGGATCTGGGCATGATTTCAGCTCATTGATCTGGAAGCAGATCTCTGCTGCTTCTTGGACTGTGTGTTGGAGCCAGGTCCTGACTGGAGGCAGCTCTTTGCCCCCCCCCCAGCGGGTGTGCACAGAGGGAGCAGCCACGCGCCGGGAGGCAGCAGGGGCATGTCCTGGGCGAGGCGCCCGCGCTGCGCTGGGCAGTGAGAGCTGCAGTGACACTGCCTGGACAAAGTCAGCGGCAGCGGGGGAGAGAGGTGGCAAAGTGGTCTTGCAAAATGGGGCTGCTGCCATTTGTTAGCAGTGTTTGTGCAGGCAAATGTAATAGTTAGACAACCATCTTATAAAAATTCTGTCCTTAACACTGTCTGTTTCCCATAACAAGCTCCTTTTGCAATTCTTCAGCTGTTGATGACTGTGTAGCTGGAGGACGACTGTCTTTTCCCATGTATCTCCTTAAGAGTTTTTTCCTGAAAGGTCAATATATCCCAGCTGTTTTTGAGGCATGTGTATGGGAAGAACAGTTCTGCACCCGACTGAGGAGACTGTGGGCCACTTCTTAGGAACCAGCCAGCTCTCTCGCTCTTCTCACCCACACTCTTT